GAATATAATTGGTATACTTTTCAAAGCATGTCTTTTTTTTCCTCTTGCAGACTACGTATGACTGCCCCTATGCTAAGAGTAAAAATACTGTACACAACATGCAAGCATGCCTTTTCTGTTCCCGTGGAATCATTTGCATTATGCCAAGATCACAGAACTAGGTCTCAGTGAAATATAACTTATTAAGAGGTGAGGTTTTGCTCATAGGATGGCGGCTCAGAGCTAACCTAAAAGGCTTTACCTAATTGGGTAAAGCCATACTACCCACACCCACTAGAATGACAGGTTGACTCAGTCAACCAGAGAAAGGTAAAGCTGAGAGAAAGACGTTTTCAACTTCTGAGAATCATAGAGACCTTGAAACCCTCAGCAAGGTGAGGCACAGAGCCTCCCTGGTGATCATGGGATAACCCAGTTACTGATGCTTCTTGTTGAATAGGATCAGGTTAGTGGCTAACAGTGTGACCTAATGGTTAAATACATCACCTTGTCCATATCCTGTTTGTAATCATCTACCTTAATCATTGCTTTAGATTATTACCTTTTTTTTTTCTCAGAGTTTAGTACCTAGCTCACAGTTATGCTCTCATGCCCAATACCTGCTCTCTTCATTTCCCACCTGGATTTCATTATGTCACCCAGAAAATTCATCATTCTAGAAAATGGCATCAACCCTGGAATTCATACCTCATCAGTCCCCTCAATCCCACCGTTTGAATCCTCCATCCCTCTGACAGGAGAAGGTAAATGATGAAGAACAGTGAGCTCCTTTGAGACCCTCTTAGGATGGTCCAACCATCTCTTCATTTCCCATCAGGATATACTCCTCCAGACTGCATCATGCCCCCATGCCAGGTACCCTGTGGACCCTTTTTTCCTCTTTTTTACTCATTGTCTCATCTATTGGATTGTAAGCTCCTTGAAGGCAGGCATTGTCTTTTGCCTTCTTTGTATCTCCAGTACTGAGCACAGTGTCTAGTATATAATAGGCACTTGATAAATGTTTATTTACTAATAAACTGACTGACTTCAATATACTCCTTGATATCTGGTCAAACACCCTGGCCCCACAGTTCATGAATTTTCTCAACTCCTGTGACCTTCAAGGGTATATGAATTACTTGGGACAAACAAAAATTATGATGTGGTTTCTTTTTAATGAGAGCAATGGCTAAGCCATATGCTTTCACTGACACCAGATTGACACAGAATGTCTGACCTTGACCAGATAAAACCAGACTGAGCTACTTTCCTCACCTTCAGTTAGTTCTTTGTCAGTTGAAAGCTAGATTTCATGCCACACACTAGTCTCATTTCTCTCTTTCCTTGTGTTTTTAATTCTATGGTTTTTAAGAATAGATATTGCTCTGAGGAAATGTGAAAATGTAGCTATTAAAGAGCACACTTCAATAACTGTTAGAGGTACTCCAATGATTTTTGGTGTGGGCAAGTCAAGTGTTTCAATATCGTCCAAGCCTACTCGGTTGCACTAAAATGGAAAGAAAAGAGAGGCTGAAAATGAAAATGTCAAAAACTGACAAACTAATGACACCAAACAAACTAATTAATCCTCAGAAAAAAAGCCTGCTCCTTTCAGAAGAACCGGACAGCTGGAAGAGTTTTCTGTATAGGGCAATATAAGCTTCTTGGAGGTGGGAGAATATTGAGACCATTAAAAAATTAACTAATATTTTTATGAAAAAAATGCTTCTCTGAGGCAAAACAATACAAAGATTTTTTGTTGTTCAGTTGCTTTCAGTCATATCTGACTTTTTGTGACTTCATTTGGGATTTTCATGGCAAAAATGCTAGGGTGATTTGCCATTCCTTCTCCAGCTCATTTTACAGATCAGGAACTAAGGGGAACAGTGTTAAGTGAGTTGTCCAGCATCATATAGCCAGAAAATGTCTTAGGCCAGATTTGAACTCAGGAAGATGAGTCTTCCTGACTCCAGGCCTGGCACTCTATCTACTGTACCACCTAGCTGCCCTGTATATAAATAGGCATACTAAAGATTAAAAAAAGATAATTTGTGCAGATAAAACACTTCTTCATTCAAAACTATGCCAAAAGAAGAAATCCAGATAAGAGTATAAATGAACATCTTCATTAGACTGTAAAACATCCATCCAAAAAAATGGGAGATTTTTTTTTAAATTTTCATGGGGCCTAGAAGTCTATTCTCTATTGAAGGAATGATAAACTTTGATAAATATGTTAATATACTGGGAATTATAATTGTTCCAGAATTACAGAAATTCTCAAGTAAAATTGTAATAATTCCTGTACCTTAACCTTGCTACATATCACAAAATGTTAAGAAATTTATGCAAGACTTTGATGCTTTCATGGCCAAGTAACACACCTTGATTTAATTGCCACTAAAAAGTTATGGGTTAAAATAAACTATGGGTTTCTTTGTATCTCCAGTGCTGAGCATAGTGTCTAATACGTAATAGGCACTTAATAAATGTTTATTTACTAATAAACTGACTGGCTTCAATATACTCCTTGATGTCTGGTCAAACATCCTGGTCCCATAGTTCATCAATTTTCTCAACTCCTGTGACCTTCAGTGGTATATTCATTACTTGGGACTTTTTTTTCCTTTTTTTTTTTTTTTTTTTTTTTTACTAATTTTACTTTGTTCCAGTTAATTTGCACACTAATGGGGAGGGGGGAGTAAGGAGGGAGAGGACATGCATTTGTTCTCTACTTTGTGCCAGACACGTGGGTTCAATGATCATATCTTGATAAACATCTCCCAGACGAACATATCCATACCTTAATTCTCTCCTGAGCTCTTCTCTCACATCATTAAATGCCTGACATTTTCACCTTGATATTCCAGAGATATATCAAGCTCAACATATCCAAATTATATCATTTTTTCTGAAACTAATCCTTTCTCTTAACATCCCTTTTTCTATAAAGGGCATCACAAATCTTATAGTCCTGGAGGAGAAAGTAAGGCTGGTGACTTTGCACAGCCCTCCCTCACTTAAATCCAATTCACTTGCAAGTTATGGCATCAACTTTCTGAGGTCACTTTCCTCTTCAAGAACGAAGGACAAACAACAGTCAATCAGGTTCACACACTTGGAATCATCCTAATCTGTTCACTCTCTCTCATCCCACAAAAATCCAATCAGTTGCCAAATCTTATTGATTCCGCAGTAACTCCACAGCATCCCTCACATCAGCCCCCTTCTCCCTGCTAGCACAACCACTGCCCTAAATCAAGCTATCAACATCTTTCACCTCAACTGTTGCAATAACTTTGCAGTTGATCTCTCTGCTCCCAAGCCTTCATCTCTCTAGTCCCTCTTCCCCCAGCTGACAAAATAACCTTTCTAAAATACAGGTGTGACTGCTTATTTTCAATGGCTTCTTCTTGTTTTGAGGATAAAATACAAACTCCTCAGTTTAACATGTAAAACTCTTCACAGTCTGGCTCTGGCCTATGTTTCCAAACTTATCTCATACCATGCCCTTTCACGTATTCTGTATTTTAGCTAAATTGAGTAATTTGCTGTGTCCTGAGCTCCACAATCCATTTTATCTTTATACAAGTAGACTGGAATGCCTTCCCTCCTCACCTCTTAGAATCTCTATCTAGTTGTTTTCCAAGCTCAGTTTTGGTGCCATATTTTATAGGAAGCCCCTCATCTACTGAGTTTTCAATCATTTTTCCTCCTTCAAATTTTCTTATACTTACTCATCTATGCAAATGTTCTATGTGTAAGTACAGCTAGGGCCAAGCTAGGCCCAAGCAGTGAGAATAATGAATCTTCTGAAATAGTTGTATGTATTCAAATTTGCACAGCACATTTCAATTGAGCTGGAAACAATTACCATATTTTACATAATTATGACTTCAAATAGTCCAAATCAGAATATATGTGACCATTTCATGGGATTCATTATTCATACTAATGGGGTTTAGCTATATGTCAACATAATTTATCCATTCTCTCCAGTCCTTCCTAGCATTTCTTTCCTTTTCTAGAATCATTGATAATTTGAGACTTTCATACTAGAAATTCCCATCTTCCATGGTACCTCCCTGCCTTTGCCATCAGGGAAGACAGAGGAAAAGGTCAATTTACTTATGGGCAGGGACTGCTTTTAATTTTGCTTTTGTGTACCTATCATACAACACAATACCTTGAATGTAATAGGTTGTGGTAACACCAAAAGATTCTGGTTTTCAGAGTCTAGCTTTTTTTTGAAACAGGGTGTTCTTGCTCTGGACAGAACCCCTTTTCCTGCCTGTATTTCCCCTCCCTTTTCTGAAACCATCTATGCCTGGAATCTTTTATGTGTTCCAGTGTGCAATATGATCAAAATATCACTGGGTTCTTTAACATAATTAAATAAAACCATGACAAAATTTATATAGAAAATCAAATATGCAATTGTGAAGAAGAGAAAGTTTATTGATAGCAGAATAAATTATTAAAAAGCAAAAGACAGATTTGAAGACATAAGAATTTTTAAGGATTTTGTGCAAAAAAATGACCAAAATAAATAGGCTAAGAAAAAACTTTGTTACTGAAACATATGATAGAAGTCTGACATCCAGAATCTATAAGCAAATGATACAAATGTATAAGAGTAATGCCCCTTTCCCAATGAATTCAAAGGATAGGAAAAGACAATTTCTGAAAAGAAGAAACATAAATTATAAATATTCCCTTGAAAAATTGTTTATACTCTCTAATAATCAGAGAACTACAAATTAAAACAACTTTGAGGTAGTAATTTATACCATCAAATTAGCCAAAATAATTTTAAAATTATTTAAATCTAATGTTAACAGGACCAAGGGTACATAAATACTCTATTTATTGTAAAACTATAAATTTAGGCAATGTTTTGATGGAAAAATTCCAGCAACATCAAGTTATAAAATTGATTATACCTTTGACCCAATGATACCATTATTGGGACTACAGTCTAAAGATATCATTAAAAGAAAAAAAAGACCTATCTATACAGCAATACTCATAACTTCTAAATTTGTAATAAAAAATTGAAAGCAGCCTTTGGATTATAAATTTAGAGCTGGAAGAGGTCTTTGACATCTTCCAATCCAATACTCTCTTTTTACAGATGAGAAACTTAAGGCTCAGAAAGGCTGTGACTTGTTCGGGTTCACATAGGTAGAAATCAGCTAAGTGTTCCAAATCCAGGTCCTCTGACTCAAAACTCAACATTCTTTCTACTGCATCCTACTGTTTAAGTTTAATGATTGGGGAATGCCCAAATAAATGGTGGCATAACAATATAGTGGAATGCTATTGTGCCATTAAAAAGGAATGTAATGTACTGCCCCTGGAGGTAGTGAGTTCCCCTTCATTGGAGCTCATCAAACATAAATTGGATGACCACTGAAACAGCATTGGGTTTGGGCCATGAGTGGCTGCTTCTCTTCCAGTCTGGACAAGATAACAATACTTGAAAAAAAAAGTAATAAGTATTTTAAATAAAGGCAGTATTTAATGTATTTGTTAAACCACAGGAATTGAAACTATATTGTTATTTAGTGGGGGGTGGGGGAAAGAGTGTCCTTTGGTTCTCCTTGATCCATTTTCTCTTTGCCTTGAATGAGATTCTTGTAAGTTATTGGGCAGTACTTTCGATAAAGATTTTCTGCCAATGTGTTGCTCCCTCTAATCACAGCTTTCTTCTCCTGGTTCATGTAGTTCCATAAATGCAAGGCATAAGAGTCATTGAAACTTGGTTCTATATCCCAAACTTCATAGTAACGTTTCCATTTCAGATATGCAATGGGATAAAACCGCTGGGGATGTAAAAAGGATAAGTTTGGACACCTGAGGTCTTTTACCTCACGAAAATCTGTAAGATTACATGATAGCCGCAGCATTCTTGTCATTAATCCAGGACCCTGGTTGCCCCAAATTTTCCCATTATAGTGCTCAATAAAATTTTCCATACAGTCCCAAATGAAAGAGTGATGATGGTGGAACCCAAAAACCCCATTGCTAGAGAATTTAGAAGTCTGTGCTGCCAGAAAATTATCCTCTGGAACGGGTCTGATGGAAATTATGTCAGTGTCCATGTAGATCCCACCATATCTCCAGATGAAAGCAAGCCTACAAGCATCTGAGCTGATGTGGATCCAGTTCTTTTCCACACTGGAATTGATCTGCAGGGATAGATAGAAATGAGTCTTCTGAAAAAACCAAAGCTAAAATTTTTAGTAAAAACAAATTACCAGGCTCAGAGTGCCATTATTACAATGGCAACTTTCAAAGAACCAAAGAATCAAAAGAAAATAATTTTATATTTGAAAAGATCATCTCATCCAAACCTTTCATTGAAGGAACTAGGCCTATGTAATTTATCCAAGAAGAGATGACCTACAGTTGTTGTTGTTTATCCTTCATTTACGAAGAGGACCAATGGCATCACAAGCTTAATGCCTTGACTTGCACTCGAATTGGATTTAAGTGAGGCAGAGCTGTGCAAAGTTATCAATCTCACTCTCTCCTCCAGAGTTGTCGGAGTCCAGTGGTGAGACAAAGGTCAGGATGACTGGTGATGGCCCACGACTAAATTAAGGTCTTTCCCAGTTCTTAGTTTGTCTGTGAAAATGCATTAGACCCTGGAGTCACCAGCAGTTGGCAGAACCTATGAGATCTATGTTTGTGAACTAGGAAAAGCTGTAATGCAATTGGAGAGAGCATGAATCCTTTCCATCCTCAGATGTCATCTCTATCAAAACACTTGTTTTGAAATGACATTTGGTAACATGTACTTCTCTCAGCTGTTTAGCCAGGCTGTATCTCTGAAACTGCGAGACTTCATACAACCCCTTGCTCTGAGGTTGTCATCATATTATAGGTACAAATGGCCAATGTTTTTGTTGCTTCTTCTAGACCTACCCCGAGGAAACAATGTAAGCTCTCTTAACCTGTTTCCTCATGTAAAAATGATATAGAAACCTGTAATACCTACTTCAAAGGTTGTTTTAAATCTTAACTAACATGATAAAGCACTTTGCACATTTTAGAACTACATATAAATGTCTGCTATTATCATGTTCACTCCTCTCAATTTTATTCATGGTAGTTGTGGGGATGGCAACAGTAGTTCAAGGGACAACTAGGTGGTGCAATGACTGAAGTCCTGGACTCAGACACCTGAGTTTAAATTTTGCCTCAGACACTAACTGTGTGACACTGGGCAAATCATTTAACCTCTCTCAGCCTCAGCGTTCTCATCTGTAAATTGGGGACAATAATAGCACCTACCTCCCAAAGGAAAGAGAATATGTAAAGCACTCTGCAAACCTTAAAGTGCTCTAAAAATTATCATTACTCATACTATTGTTAAATCCTGGAATCCAAGAAAATGGTAAGCCTGAAATTCAGTATTGTAATTTATAGCTATGTCCTATTGGAATGTGTATGGACAATATTGTTTGGCAAATGAGTAATTTAATTGAAATTTCACTTATTTATCATGCACTACTAGTAGCAAAGAGAGATTCAAATTCCTAAGTTCCCTTAGCATGAAGAATTTCTTAGTCATTTCATAGTCTGACCTGATACCATGTAGCATTAACCCTTGATACTTCCTAAATTTGTCTTATGTAAATTATTTCTAAGATACAAATATATCGTCCTCAAGATGGAAAAAAATAAACAACAACAACAACAACCAAAAAAGAAAGGTTAGAGTTACAAGACATCTCACTGGCCTGAGAGAGATATAGAAATTCTTTCCAGATTCTAGCAGTCATAAAAAAATAAATCCAGTTTTTAAAAAAATGAGACTAAAAGAAAACAAACTAAAGAAAAGAACAGTTTTAGAAATATCTTTTGTAGCAAGTGACAAGATATTTGCCCCCTTTTCTTCCCTTTCCCATTTGAGTAACAGAAAAAATAAATCCTGCCTACCACATAGAATATACATGATGATAGACAGGGTCAGTAACAGAAAGGAGTTGAAGAAGGAAAGAGAGAGAGCAGGGTTTTCTCCCCTCATCTTACACCAGATCAATGACATGGAAAGATTGCAGGACTCTATAAAGATTTACTAGGACCAAGAAATAAAGAGATAGGGTGATTATACTGCAGAGCCATTAGGAGTGGCAGAAAGGAGAAGGAAAGGAAAATTGAAAGAAAGGGCATAAAAGGGAGAAAGAGAGAGAGAGAGAGAGAGAGAGAGAGAGAAGAGGGAGGAGAGAGAGGAGGGAGAGTGAAGAAAGGAGAAGAGAAGAGGAGTGAAGCAGAGACAGAAAGAAATAAAGACAGTGAGGAAAAGATGGAAAAAAGAGGGAAGGAGGAGAGAAAAAGAGGGAGCGAGAGAGAAAAGAAAGAAAAGGAGAGAGTTGGAAAGAAAGACGAAAGGAGAGAGAAAGAGGAGAGAGAAAGAGAAGGAAAGAAGACAGAGACAAAGAGAAGGAAGAGGGAGAAGAGAGAGGAAGAAGGGAGGATGAGGGAGGGAGAGGAGAAGAGAAGGAATGAAGGAGAGAAACAGAGATATAAAGAGAAAGTGAGGAAAAGGTGGAGAAAAAGAGGGAGAGACAGAGAGATAGATACAGAGACAGAGAAAAAGACGGAGAGAGAGAAATTTTCCCTTATCTCTCCCTTTTCTCTATCCTCAAGCACTAGGAAATAGAGAGCAACCATCCTATATAGGACTTATGAGGAAGAGACAGTCACAGGGAGATTTGGGGCAGTACCTCAAGCACCTCCAGAAGACGTGTAAGTGTAATGAGAGACTAGCAAATAAGGGCTCAGTTGTGGGAGCAATCATTTCCAGTGAATCAACTTCTGGAAGTGCCTAATGATGTGGAATGAAGGGGCCTTACTCTCCATTTTGAAGTATACGTAGGTATTTTTGACTGTTTCTAGCCCATTAATTTCATGATGAAGAAATGAGCTTTGGGGGGCAGCTAGGTGGCACAGTGGATAGAGCTCGGGCCTTGGAGTCAGGAGGACCTGAGTTCAAATCCAGTCTCAGACACTTGACACTTACTAGCTGTGTGACCCTGGGCAAGTCACTTAACCCCAATTGCCCCATCCAAAAAGAAAAGAAAAGAAAAGAAAAGAGCTTTCAATTGTCTGCTCAGTCAAAACTGAGTGTGCATTCAAAAAGCACTAAACAGCTAGGGCAAGCCTGTCTCTTGCTGGTGATGTTTGTGGCAAGGACAGTTATAAGCCTATAAGTGGAAAGAGAGGCAGCAACAGTCATAAGAATGGTTTTCTGTTAGCAGTTGCTTATCTCCCCAGCCAAGACCCACATATTGCCACAAAAGAACATGGCACCCCTGTTTCTTTGCCTCTTTGTGTTTGCTTACTCTTTCCTACCTTTAAATGAAGGCACATTGGAGAGAGGACAGATGAGGTCATGACCTTGTGAGATCTAAAAAGGTACGGTAATGGGAGTCCAGACTAGAGTATGCCACCGGTGCAGCCCCAAGGAGCCACTTGCATCACCAAGCCAACCAGCAAATCAAAACAGCAACTGAGACACTGTTTTCTGGAGCAACTTTGCTATATGCATTTAAAAGTAAACTTGGCTAGGCAAATGCTTTATTGCAAATGCTTTAAATCTGAGCCCATTCTCTCCAGGGACCGAGCTGGCAGAGGGGAGAATATGTGCTCGGTTCAAAGGGATGTGTGTACTTCTGTTCTTGCTACATCTTCTTCAGCAACTATCCCTATGTTTGAAAAGCTTTTTGGTGTTAATTTGTTAAATGATACTGGAGTACTAATCACTGGTTCAATCAATCATGAGTGGGATACTAAAAGTAACTAGTGATTGATACTGGAAAGGATGCCACAGAGAAGGTTCAAGAAGATGACATTAGAAAGATGGACCCAACACCACAGGGGCAGCCCTATAAACCAGAGGGAAAGATGTAGCCTTGCTCAGGGATCAGCCAGAGGAGGAAAAAATCCCCCCAAAATGTCTCTGGGTCCAAAGAGAGAGAGTCTTTGACACAAGACTTTTATTTTGTTTTTTACCTGTTGAACACTTACTTGAGTATACCACGAGAAAAGGGGTGTCTCTTGCAGCAATGTTTCCATAACAAGAGGGAAAAAGAAGACATTCTCAATTGCTGACAAGAGGGAGAAGCCCGGGTAGCTAGCATTTAATGGCAAATGGGTAGAATTATTATCCAGTCCTTTCATTAAAAAAATAATAGACCTTTCTGGATATATTCTAGCTGCAGACTCAACAGCACATGAAACTAAGGGAGAAGGTTCCAGGCGATTAGTGGTCTCCAGGAATACAATGTTTCTTCTATGTCTCAAAATGTCCTCAGGTTTCATCATGGCCTTGTATGCAGGTGTGCAGGAAAAGAAGCATCTGGGTTTCAGCGTCATTTCATACAGGAATCCACAAGTGAACAGAAAAAAGATTGAAAGGGAGATCTGGAACTCCTTCAGCATTGTTTTTTCTTCATAGATCTTTTTCTTTAAAATGAGAAAACAAATTGGAAAAAAATGAAAATTATTTTAGGTACTGGCCTAGAAACCATTAACATCTCAATCATCCGAGAGGCAGCATGGAGGAATGGGTAGCGTATAGGACTTAAAGTCAGGAAGACTAGGGCTAAAATCCTGCCATACAAGGTCTGTGTGCAACACAGGAAGGAGAGGGAAAGGAAAGAGTGGAAAGAAAGAGAGAGAGAGAGAGAGAGAGAGAGAGAGAGAGAGAGAGACCTTAAGCAAATCACTTAACCTAACCCTTGGTTTACCCATCTATAAAATGAAGGGGTCTACTAGACAACTTCTAAGGTACCTTCTAGCTATAAATCTATGTTCCTATGCTCTAATACTCTCCCAAGAGAGAGCATTACATATTTGTAAATCCACAAAGTTTCTAATTTATTCAATGAAGTAAAGAAATTCACACATTAGAATTCTTTAAAGTCCTTTTGCTGAAGAATTATTTACAGCTGTTGAATAATCACTAACTGTAAGCATGAGTTCATTAAGAACAGGTCTTATTTATGGAAGAAAAGTTAATGAATTGTTTCTGTCTTTATTTCTTTTCAACTAGTTATGTAATGGATAGAGCACTAAACGTGGAATCAGGAAAACCTGAGTTCAAATCTAGCCCCAGATACTTACCTCTGTGGCCCTGGGCAGTCACTTAATTTCTATTTGCCTCAGTCTCCTCAACTACAAAATAAAGACAATAATAGCACCTATTCCCAGGGTTGCTGTGAGGATCAAATGAGATAATATTTATAAAAGTGCTTAGCATAGTGTCCAGCACATAGTAGGCATTATATAAATGTTTATTCCTTCCCCCTTTCCCTTCCACTTTCCTTCCCCTCTTTAACTGCTGTACTATACTCCAAGGAAATCATTGACAAGATAGCATTTATTGCATTGTCTGTGAACAGAAAATGCTAGAGCCAAAAGTATTATGGAATGGGTGAGTAAATTAAGATATATCAATGTCATATAATATTAATATACTGTAAGGAGCCACAGATATGAAGAATTCAGGGAAACATGGGAAGACTCTTATGAGGTGATACAACATGAAGAAAGTAGAGCCAAAGGGGCAGCTAGGTGGCATGGTGGACAGAGCTCCGGCCTTGGAGTTAGGAGGACCTGAGTTCAAATCTGGTCTCAGACCAGACACTTGACACTTACTAGCTGTGTGACATTGGACAAGTGACTTAATCCCAATTGTCTTGCCCCCCCCAAAAAAGAATAAGTGAGTCAAGGGATGGTCTCTTTAATAAAAAAAAAAATCAAAAAATGGGGGCAGCTAGGTGGCGCAGTGGATAGAGCACCGGTCCTGAAGTCAGGAGGACCTGAGTTCAAATCTGGCCTCAGACCAAACACTTGACACGTATTAGCTGTGTGACCCTGGGCAAGACACTTAACCCCAATTGCCTGAAAAAAAAAAGAGCCAAAAGAATATCATCTTCTTTAGGACAGGAACAATTTCATTTTTGCTTTTCTATCTCAGTGCATATTACTATAACTCGCACATAAGTTCTCAATTTTCATCAAATGTAATTGAGGACAATACACATAATGATCCCAACAGTATAAATAAAGTCATCATTGAGATGCAACAAAATTCCAGTCAAATACAAACCATACCATACTGTCCAAGTTAACGGACATATCTCTCCTTTTTTAACAGTCGATAAATTATCTGTTTTCAGGGAATATATTGGGGAAGGGGAAGAATGGAAAAGGGTAAGGAATTTGGTGTTTGGGTAGACTTTTAGAAGTGTCTATAGTATCAAAATAAATTATATCAATCATTTTTAAAGTTTATGTACCTCAAAGAATGACAAATATGAGAATTCAGAAAAGCACAGGAAGAATTATATGAAAACAAAGCAGAGTGAAGAAAGAAGAGTCAAAAGAAAAATATTACATTGACTATAACAATACAAGCAAAGGCAACACCAAAAAGAAACAAAACTAAAATAAAAGACAATGGACAGTGTTGGTGCCAAATGGTTAAATTGAAAACATATATTCTTCTTTTCCCATAACAACTGGTAAACTACAAAACTGAAAAGTAACTTGAACCATCAGTTATAATTATTTCATTATCACTGGTTCTGTGTAGTTATTACTAGGTAAGATATCGGGAGTAAGTATTTGGGGATTTGAGGAGAAGTGTCTATTGCATAAAATCAGAATATATCAGTACATTTTAAAAGGAAAACCACCACTTAAGAAACCTGATCAATGCAATTACCAACCATGATTCCAGAGGCCCAGTAATAAATAATACTACCCACTTCCTGATAGATGAGAAAACTAAGACAAATAGGGTCAAGTAATTTGGCTAGGGTCAAACAGCTAGGTAGTGTCTGAAGCCAGATTTAAACTTAGGAAGAGGAATCTTCCTGACTCTGGGCCCAGTGCTCCATCCACTGTGCCACCTAGTTACCCTATATGGGGATGGGGTGCATCTCCTCATGTTAAGTATTACCTTATTGAATATCCTTGTTACGTCAGAGCTAAGTAAACTTCCTTGTGTTAACTATTCAATGAACTGTAAGTTCCTCATTTCACCCCAGCCTCAAATCTGAACTAACAAGGTGTCAGTCTCAGTCAGACCTGACCCAGAAATAAACATTCAAAGGATATGGATGAGCATTTCTCGAAAGAAGAATTGTATACTATTAACAAACCATATGGTTCCAAAGAGGAAGTAAAAAATATATGTTTGAATGAATATGTATGTATATATATGTGTGTATATCTGTGTATGTATATATACATAGATATGTGTTTGTGTATGGGTGTATGCATACACACCTTCCTCTCTTTGCAGAGCTAGGGAATGACAGGTACAGAACACTGCCTGTATATTAAGACTCACTTGCTATGTTTGTTTAGTTTTACTAAATTGCTTCTTTTCTCTATTATTCTTGCGAAAGATGGTTCTCTGGGTAAAAGGAAAAAGAGAAGGAAAGATATATATCTCTATAGAGACAGAAAGAAAAAAAAAAGAGGTGATTTTTTTTTCATTTTTAAACAACTATTTGAAAGATTGTCCCAAATTACTAAAAATCAGAAATACAAATCAAAACAATTCTGAGGCTTCACCTCACTTCCAATACTGGCAAAAATAACAAAAGATAGGAATAATCAAGGTCAGAAGAGTTGCATGAATACCAGCACATTAATATACTGTTGGTGGAGCTAGAAATGTCAGTGCATCCTACAAAAGCAATGTTGAATTATGCTTTTAAAGAAGAAAAGTGCTTAGAATATCACTTTGACCCAAAGATTCTTCTCTTATGAATACAACCCAAGGAGGTCAAAGATGGAAAGAAGGTCCTATGCCCTAACCAAAATACATAGAGAACACTTTTCGTAGCATCAAAGAACTGGAAAGAAACTTGATTGTCAGCAACTGGGAAATTACTAAATAAATAAATAATGGAATGTTGCTATGCCATGTGTGATAACTATGAAGAATTCAGAGAAGCACAGGAAAACTTAAACAAACAAACTGAAGTAAACAGAACCAAGAATACATATATATGATTATAAATATGTAAGGAGAAAGAGAAAAGGAGAGAAAGGAAAAGAAGGGAAACGAAGAAAAAGAAACAAAACATGATGTAATTAGAATTATTTAGTTTGGTCCTGAAAAAGAGATGAGAAAAGACAAAATCCTCCATTCTTTGCAGAGATTTATGAGGATTATGGATATGTTGTTAATTGACGTGTTGCTAAGTTTTGCTGAACTGCTTTTCCCATTCTTTTTCACTCTTTGTTTTAAAAGATGCATCACTAAGTAAAGAAAGAAGAAGAGATATTTTCAAAAATAAAAATTATATAAAAACAAAGTGTATATTATATACATATTTAATTTTAAAAGGAATAAAACGAAGACTATTTTGCACAAAGCACATAGAAAAGTTCTCACAATTCCTTTTTAGGGTTGGGCTATGGAATCATGTTTTAAAGAACAGATAGAAAAAATAACCCAAAGTCAACCTATCCCTAATCATGAATTACTATCAGCCTCTTATTAGCTAGAAAACTGACATAATATCCTAGTGGTAAAAGAGCTATGAAATAGTCTTTCCAAATCCAGCTGCCAAAAGTCTAGCACCATTTCCTAAAAGAAGAAATAAGAGGCAGCTAGGTGGTACAGTGGACAGAGCACCAGCCCTGGAGTCAGGAGGACCCGAGTTCAAATTTGGCCTCAGACACTTTTAATTATGTGACCCTGGGCAAGTCACTTAATCCCAATTGCCTCAAAGAAAAGAAAAGAAAAGAAAAAACTAAAAGAAGGAATAAGTTCATCTTCAGACAGAGCTGAATAGCAGTGAACTTGTGCTTCTTCCCCATTCCACACACACACACCAGAGGAGCCCCACCATAAGACTGCAAGTCACAGGGAAAGTACAGGTCTCTGCTGGGGTTGGTGGAAAGGGGGTTCCCACTAGAAAGAGAAAGGAACTCGACTTTTATAGGTTTATTGTCTTAGAAAATCCTTTTTGTGCTCTTTTTTTTGTATAAATAAAACCTCTTTTCTGTTTGATATCTTGTGATCCTGACTGCTTATAAAAAGAGATAATATTCAGTCTTAGGATCACATCCTGAGGGTAATCACCATTCAGAGAACTGGGAGTATTTATTCTAGAGAGACTTGGGACTAGCATGATAGCAGTCTTCAAATATTTGGACAGTTATCATTAGAAGGATTCACCATATTCTGCTTGGCACTAGAAAATAGAATCATAACCAATGGGTGTAAGTTATGGGGAGGTGGGTTTCAGTTCAATAGAATGAAGTACTTCCTAGTAATTAGAGTTGCCCAAAAATGGGATATGCTACCTTAGAAGGCAGCAAGTTCCCCAGCAGTAGAAATCCTCAAGCGAAAAATGCAAGTCCACTTGTTGTGGATACTGCAAAGAGGAGCCATGCATAGACTGGGTAGAAGTTGAACTGGATAATTCCTAAAGTCC